CAGTCAAGCGACAACTGCGAAGTAATCATCGAAATTTTGCCTATCTTGCTTCGGCGGAGCTAACCCGTGTGCTGAAGAAAAATAACTTCCGAAAAGCCTGTCATTAAACAGGCTTGTGTCGGTTTTATTAGAAAAGATAACTTAGTGAGTTCTAATGTTACTAGCACTCACTCTAGTCAATAACTAAAGAGTTATTGACGTAACTGCTGCTATTATATTTGATAGTCTGTAATATTCTGGCAATATATTTCCGAAATTGGAGATTTAGCAAAATTACACGCAAGAATATGAATATAAACTTCTCTAATAGCCCTTGTTATTTCTACTTTTTTTTAGTTGTCACTTTTAGACAGTTATTGTTGGTTCGAGGTACAGCCATCGGCAAATTTAAAACTAAAATAGGTGAGGCAGTGAAAGGAAACATATAGAAATGATCTTAACGAGTTTTTCTGATTCTTTACGGCATGCTTATCTTCTACGTGCAGATCGTTTTTATCATAAAATTCTACATGCAAGATGTAATTGAGATCCATGATTAAATGACAAATGATTTTAGATATAAACTTTGGATCATAAATTTATTTTATTAAAGTTAGAAATTTACTGAAACATCAATTTATGTGCTCAAAATCATTCGAACATTATTTCAGTGGAATGCACTATATCGGTTACACTTTATATCGTACCACCCACCACAATATTTTTTTTTTTTATGTCGCGGGATGATGATGCGATTTTGCCTGCGCACATGGCTGCAGACCGTCGCCAACGTACTCAGCAGCTCCGCCCACCGCCACGTTATCGTTCGCTATCGCATCGCTGACTGCCGCCACTGCCACACTGCCTCAAACAAAAAGCGCGGATGCCTCGGCGTGTTGCTCTTAGGGGCGAAGCTCCTTAGGGTCTAGCCTTGTCCGTCCGTCCGTCCGTCCGTTCGGCGTCCGTGCTCACATAAAAAGAACTAATGTTTGCGCAGTCGACAGCATTCGAACCTGTCCGGGGAGACCCCAATGGATTTCTAGTACATCGCCTCAACCACTCAGCCACGACTGCGGGCCGAGTAGGGGGCTCTGGGATGTGGTAGTAACTCAAGAGCTGGGGTTTCTGTCATGAATGAAACGTTGCACGTAGCCGCTCAACGTCTATACAGGAGAGGGCGCTGTGGTCAAATGCGCGTATAATCGCGTTAAACTTTGCATGCATTGGCTCAACGTTTATAGACGAGAGGGCGCAGCGGTCAAATGCTCAAATGCGTATAGTATAACCACGTTCCGTACCACACATTCTCTTTCTGGCATGGACCGTTGACTTATGGGGTGGAGATGCGTTCCCACAGCTTCTAGCGGATCCAAGCTGATCCGCTAGACGAACCACTGGCTCTGTATTTTACCGACCATAAAGCAGTAATAATGAAGTCGAAACGCAACCCGGAAGTCAGCACTGCCTATGAGCAATAAAAAACGATCAGCACCATCAGCACCACCAGAGCTTTGCCCCAATCAACATCATTCACCGCGTGGAGATGCGGTCATTTTGCTTTTTTCTTTCTCTATTTCGGTGGCGCGCCGCCGGCAGTGCCCCGCAGAACGATAAACAGACGCGACCAGCCAAAAAAAAAAACGAACGCGCCTGCGCCGCGCCCGCACCTCCTTTGCCCCTGCTCCTGAGCCCCCCCCCCCCCCCCCGGTAATGTCCGCCCGTCAGAAATTCCTGGGGAGAACCCTGAGCGTACCTAAAATAACCATTCACAGCAGGCCATACATTACATCATTAATCACCATATTGTTTCCATGCTAAACGCTTCTACATGCAACTAAAGGCCTAGTTTATTTTTGACGCAATCAAACCTGCCGAGCAATGAATGCTAACAGAAGGTGGCACAGAACTGTGAGGCAGTTTTTTTTTTTTTTTTTTGTTTGGATAGCCCAATACACATATCTCAATATTTCTTTTTTTTCTTTTTTTTTTAACTTGACAGATTTGTTTAAAAAAACGGTGAACGTTACATATGTCTATTTTATAGACGCTCGTTAAAAAGAGCATTTGCCGCCAGAAATACATACATACATACATACGTACACTTGTGCGGTTTCTGCGGGTGCGTTATACGGCCAGAGGCACATGTTGTGGGAGGCTAATGGTAACGATCAGTCGGCTAATTAACTAAAATTTGCTAATTAACTTTTTAATTAATAAAAATAGACGTATGGTTTGAATTAGAAACTTGTGGGCGGCATTGAAAAACACTGAATCAGAATTTTCAGAAAGTCTTTGATCGCGTGAGAAGCGTAGTAGTGCGCCAAATTTACAACTGGTGGAGCAGGTACAAGGCTAGCGGTTGCGGTAAGGCGCCCGCGCGACCTTTCCGTCTCTTATTTAGCCCCAGCCTTGTACCTGCACCACGAGTGGTAAATTTAGTACAATACTATGCTTCTCAAGGGCACAAAGTTTTTCTGAAAATTACTAATTTAGTGGTTTTCGATGACGCTGAGCAAGTTTGTAATTGGAACTATATGTCTACTCTTATTAAACAAAAAGTTAATTAACAAACATTTAATTAATTAGCCTACTGATTGTTACTATTAGCCCCCTATACTATGTCCAGTGATGTGATTGCTGCGCCAATTGCGCCAAACTGCGCCAAGGGGCTAACCCTGCTACATCCTGCTACATTTCGCCAAAATATGGCTAATCTGCGCCAAGCCTGCGCCAAAGGACCGATTTTGGTCGCCTTTCAAAAACGAAACTAAACTGAAAACCGTAATTGAGCATGCGTGAGCTTGGTGGCACAAAAGACGCCGCCGGACACAAAGTACCCTACATCAGTCGCTATTCGGTCTTGCATGATTTTTCCCGTCGTCTCGCGTTTCGCGCTCTCGTCGTCTCGAAAATCTCATCTCGCGACTTTTTTTTTTTAATTTTTTCGCGATAGACGCGTGCGTGTGCACACCCTCCGATGTTAGTGTGCCGAGTGCCAAACATGCCGCGGCGAGAGTTACTTCGTGAGCTGAAGCGCTCGCGCGACCACAGTCGCCGTGGTCGCGCGACGTCGTATGTGTCCGTCCCCACGTCGCTGCAGATATGGCGCTTTCTAAACTGAAACGCATCGACATGCCTGCTCTTGTTTAAATCATACGCTGCTAAAAAAATCCCTTCTTAACTCAATGACTGCTTGGCGAAGTTTTGATTACCTAGGTTTCTCTCGATAAGCTTTCTTTCGAAAGGGACCAAAGTACGTGAGAAATCTGCCGCGAAAGAAAGTTGATGACGAGAAGTGAGCTAAAGCAAAGAAGGCAATGTCTGCACGCTGAACCCGCACACCGCGCTTGTTTGTCTCGAGTTCAGTCGTTGCACAAATTTAAGCGCTCCAAGTACTTTTTCACCCTGATTCGATCGCAATGTCTTGCATCGATACGCTCAGGTTCTTTTTTTCTGTGTGTTTAGCCTGTACCTCGCCTGCCGGCCTGGCAAGCACGCGCCGCTGGACTGTTTATTGTCGTATGCGGGACAGTTACATTTTGCATACTATTTTGGGAACCAGTTGGCGACGGAGCGGAGTGGCATGGTTTCGGTTTCGGTCGAACAGTCGTTGTCTCCGCTCGCGTGAGGAAGCACGTGTAACTGCAAGCCTGCCAAAGTTGCCCTCACGAGCAGTTGAACATGATTGCACGAGAGGCACCAGCCGGGACGCTTGCAATCCATTGTTTTACATTTGCTTACTTTTTATAAAAATCTGCCACGTCTGGAAACAGTAAAACAATAGCAAGTGTTTTTTTTTTTCGGAATTGCTCGGCAACGCCTACAGCATTGTATACTTGTGAGATGTCTCAGCAGCAAACACACAGGCAGCGAGTTCCGCCCCAACACGTCACATCACAACACAACACGTAGTGCCCTTCGTTTGTCCAGCACTTAAAACAAATATTTATTTTTCTAAGAATATATTCTCCAAAAGTCACTTTTTTAGCTTTGAAACACTGTTTTGGCTGCTCCAAAAAACACTTTTGCTGCTCCAGAACTCTGTCTTGGCTGCTCCAAAGGCCACATTTGCTGCTCCAAAACACTGTTTTGTCTGCTCCAAAAGGTGCTCCAAAATGGCTTAGGCCAATCACATCACTGCATTATGTCTCCCTGGCCCTGCAACTCACCTGCCCAAACCGCATAGGTGTGACTTTCACGTGTTTTTTTAAACAAGTCCGTCAATTAAAAAATAAAACACTCAATATTCGCACTGGTATGAATAAAAATGAAGTGTGTGCCTTTGCTCCAAGAGTACCTTTTGCTGCTCCATGATGGCATTTTGGCTGTTCTAAAGAATGCTACAAAATGTATCGGCCAATCACATAATTCAACTTATTGCGAAACTTTGAGAAAAAAAAAGGCACTTCGTCACTACACGGCTGCCATGATGCACGCTGTAAAATTTACAGGGGCTGTTTCGGTCCATGACATATACATCATAAAATATAATCAGTCGATAGAAACGGGGTATTCAAAGCTTGTGCTTTAATAAGCACAAGCTTGCTTTCTTGCAAGATAAACTGAAAATAACCCAGATATTTGCAGAAGATTAGAGCTTTTTGGCACATCTCTTTGCTCAGAAATTATTTTGAATGGACCATTTGTGCCGGGACTAGAGAAATGGTATAAATGCAACTGACCAACTACACCCGCTTAAGGTCTTACTTTTCCACTAAAACTACACAGTTACGCCTTTTAGTTGTGAAAAATAAGACCACAAAGCAAAAGCCAGTATTTTTGAATTTTTATTGTTTTATGACAAACATATAATAATTCAGTCTGAAACATTTTATATATAAGCTTAATCAAAACCTCGCTTGTTAGCAAGTTTACATCGGCAACTAAATCAACGCTTGTATCTACATTTATTACAAGTTTTACGGTTGTAACGTTTAAATATAAAACTTAATATAATAATTTTATATTCATTTCTATGTATTCATTCTTATAAATCATCTTTCTTTCATTTTTATTGATAGACTGACGACGAAATGAAATTCGAGGCATTTAAAAACACAACGAGAAGCACCGGAAGGTCTCTGGATGCACATCTCACGCTCGGACTGCTCAGGGAATGGGCTACAAATCAAAGTTTCTTTAAAGATAGTGATGTAGTTTATTTGATAACAGGGTATGTGTGAGTATGTGTTTGTTCATGTACAGACGCGCAATAAGGGGCCCTATTACTTCCAGTCACACAGTCTTCGACTTTGTCTTGGCGTACCGACTGACGATGAAAGGTAAGGCTTGATTTTTTAAAAGAAGGCATATACAGAGTCACATAAATATTGTGAACAGATTATCTTTTTTCATATTTTGCTTTAACAGTTGTACTGTTTTACGTTAATTTCAAAGGATATTTACAAAGTGGGTCACGAAATTCAAAAAACCGAAGCGGGACATGAATACGATCACCGCTCATCTGTTCCTAATTATTTTCTCTGGGTTGTGAACATGTAGCGGCTGTGATCTCTCATATACACTAAGCCTAGATCTAATACTACCTTTGTTTAGTTATTTCACCGCCATAACTTATATGTTTTCGACATATTTTTTTCCTACCATAGCGAATAAGCGACTTTCTTGCCAGGGTTATTTCTACGCCAGCTAATTAATATTCTTGTTGCGAGCCAACGTAACCACTTTTATTGTAATTTCAAATTCCCACCCTCGTCTGAAGTGTTTCTGACCTCATGATGTATTAAATAAATGAATATGTAAAACATAAATAAATATTAGATCACAAGAATTTTAAAATTTGTGAAGTTATATTGGAACTTAGTTTTAGGCAGAGCAAAATTATTAGTCATCAAACGCTCGTGCCGCTAACTGGTCTCACCAATGCTTCAGGAAATAAAAATCTCTATAGTACAGTGCGTAATCTTTTTCTCCGCGCCTGCGTGGACACGCAATTTCGCCGCGTGATCACGGCATGAATAATGGTTTAAATTTCTAAGTGGTGAACAGAACAAACAAAAAATAACCTCCGTTTTTCAATGCCTCAACGAAACGCTAGTCGCAGCGAGCCAAGCGGTGCTACTCCCTGCTCAAAAAATAGTCTCTCGTTACCGGCAATCTGGACAAGATTAGAATAACCATGTCCTTTGAAGGTAAGAACGTAATATTCATCCAATTCACCCCGAAGAAAATAACGGTGGACGTCACATAATACAGAGGCGCCAAAAAAACTCATCTTCCAAAAAAAACTGAGAAGGTTGCATTTGTAATCATCTTTGACGAGTATATATCGGCTAGTCGGGCCGAACCTTTTTAGAATATTTCTTCACAATAACAAATTCGAACTGCTCTCACGCTCCCTACACCCCCTACCTTGGCCCACTTTTTTATGGATTTCTTTCACCGTGAAAGACATTTCGTCATAACCGAGTGTTTTCAACGTGTTTTGCTGTTGCGTCAGGAAACTTCCCAGTTGGTTCCACAGGTCCTAAAAGAATATTGGCAGCCACCATACCTTCGTGGAGTTGATGTTGAAAAAAGTATAGATCTACGCGGTGACCATGAAAAAGTGACAGAGATTCTGTGAAAAAACAGTAAGGGCGCAGGCGAGCTGGTGTGAGTTTACCATTTTTTAGACCACCTGAGACTGGGTGGAAGAAACACGACGACGACTCAAACACAGCTAACCACTTTATTCAGTTCTCCCTCTTTCTATACACCCTGAACCCAAAATCGTCACCATAAAAAACACTCCAAACAAAGGAACCAAGGGGACACGTCTTGACTTCGCAGCCACAATGAGGTTAAAAAAACGAATCACTTTGAACTAAGAAAAACTTCTGTGTTTATTTGCGCATGCATTTTTGCTAATAACTTAAGATACATTAAAGCTATCCTAAGTTATTACCCGCGTAAATTTTTATCGTTTCAAAATACACGTAATTTTAAAGAGCGAAAATAACTGAGCCTAGAGAAACAAATAAATTTAACAAAATTGTGTGTAACAATTTTCGTTCGTAGAATTATGAGATAACCAAAACCGATACTAACCTGCTACTCTAATAGTCCTCCTTTTTGTTCTGACTTCAAATGCTTTGTAAACATCAGCACCTGGGCAGCTCGATCCTGTTTCGCCCAGCGTCAAAAGCACTCATAAGGCTATCGCGATCGTCTCTTCGAGACAATAGACTAAGATTCATCAATTTTGTATTAGTTCAACAATGAGCACAAAATGTTTTAAAATATTCAGCAGAAGATTTCAGACCATTTGCCGTTCACATTCAACTCGCTGGCATCCCCTTTCAAGGGGGTTTGCATTCGCGACCAGCATACATGTGGACCCAGATGCTGCTTCGCATCAGAAGGGCATGGATGTTTTTATTTTCTAGCAAGGTGATAACTGTTTTCTAGCAAGACCCAGCGCTCGCGTTGAGCAGCTGGACTAATTTCTGTCGCAGAAACTTATCGGACGGAAACAAATAAGATGTCAAACTGCTGCATTTCTTCCTGGGGTTATTTCACCCCACAGCCCATCACCGATTCTCCCACCCTCCATCGCATTCCACAAACAGTGTAAACCAGAGGTTATCGGCAGAATGAGACGCTGACTATCACTACAACGCACAACGCCGTGGAGTAGAGAGCGTGTTCTTCTCTTTGATGTATTTGACGTCACGTGTGCCCCTTACCCTTCTTGCCAATAGAGCTGCGGCATGAGATTTGGAGGTTTACGCGACTATCTCAAAATTAATCTTCTTGAAAAAGAACTAACATTTTGGTTAACTATTTCCTAGACATACACACAGGTGGATATTTTTGTACACGGTGAAAATTTATCGAAATTAATGACCATTAATATTTTGCCGGAGCTTCCCGCAGCAAGGCAATAAACGGTTTAGAACTCATTCACCATGGCCAAGCTCGAGCTCACTTTGCCGCATGCAAACATATAAAGTACGCCCGGAGCGGGCTGGATCAGTGTTTTACACATCCGTAACCTCCCTGGGGCTTATAAACAAGCCCCTTAGGTGAAATAAATTACATCTGTGACAAAGAGGAACTCCCAACCACTTAGAAACTTCCCTCCTGAAACATATAACCGAAATTCGGCAAGCCACCACATGGTCTCGTGAATTTAAAACCCCTCTCGCTAACATCATGTTTGTTGTTTTTAAAACCATGGAGTTATGGTGGAAGCAAGCCTTTGCTGGTTTTATAAAGACCGGCAGCTCCTCGCGCCGAAGCAGTACGGCTTCAGGTCAGGGTTATCCACACAACACGTCCTCTTGCGGCAAAAGTAGGACAATGTGAATCCGGCATCTCCACAACCCAGGATCGTGGTTGGCGTCGATACACTATACAGGCTCATTCTGAAAATGTGAGGCTCTGTACGGTCTTGAACAAGACAGGGTACGTCGTTCTACACGGTTTCACGGTGGCACATCCATGAAGGCAAAAATAAATAAAAATAAATATTTAACTCTTCATTGGCCACTGCATTATCGAGCGGAAGCCGTCAATCCGCATCCTAGGCATGGACATTAACGGGCACTGTACAACCCATGCCTGGTTTAATCGCACCCTCAGGACAATCAAGCAGATACTCCATAAACTACGGCTGTCAAATCGCACTTGGAGACTACAAAAACGCGAAATGGGTCAATTTGCTCAGTCTTTCTTTGTCTCCAGTTCCCCCTTCGCTCCTATGGTCTCCCCTTCCATCCAATCAGTCGTACACAAATGCGAACACTGGAACCACTTAACCACAAAACACGACGCGTAGTAACGGGTCTCCCACGCTACATCCGCAGAGACACGCTAAGAAGCTGCAGTACCCTGAATGACTATGATGAACTTCTTGATATACAGAAACACATTTAAAAAGCCCACCTATATTCCACCCCGGCAGATAGGCATGCAGAAGTATAGCTGAATCACGTCGTGAACAAACTACCACTGGTGCCATGGCTCTCTCCGCCTTGGGAATACACCCAATTAACCGAGCCTAAGTCGCTACTCAAAAAGATGAACTCCGAGCAAACTCCACGGCGTAAGTCACACATCAAGAAATACCTCAAGTGGATAAAGCCTATCATAACCAATGGTGACCACCGTATAATCAACACGGACACGGCATGCCCTCTGTAAAACTCAGGCTAGCCACAGCATGTTGCAGCGCCAATGAGGACCAACAGGGCAGGATGTTCCACGTGACGGACAGTCCCATTCACTGCACACAGGCAGGGACTATTGGCATCCTCGATTACGCCACGCATGCAAATGCGACGTGTTATGCCGGCCCGCCTGTGCGCCATCACGTCTTGAAAGATTCAGAGGCAGCACTCAGAGCCTGTACCATTGTAAACCAGGCATCCATTGCCATCAGCCAGCTCCGCCTGTAGGTTCATCAACTTTGAATGCCGGGACAGGACTTCACAATAGGGCGGGTTCCCTGGCACAATGGTGCAGCTGGCAAACGAGGACGCTCATTGCCTTGCACGAGCGCATTTATCCAACGTGCAATTTCAAGCATCCGTTCACCAACAATTCGACTAACAATCCGAAGACATCGAGACTAGCCCCCCTGCTATAGATCCTACACAAGCCGCCAGACATTTGCTACATGCACGTTCCACCGAGGATCACCAAGGTACTTGTAACTATTAACTCTTTCCAAAACATCACCATCATGATAGTAACGGTATATTAGTGGTTTCAGCTTGTGTGTGATGAGGATACAGACGAGTTTTCCTATATTAAGAATTTTTTGCCATTTCCGGCCCATTGGTGAATTTTGTGTAACAACCATCCGCAAACAAGCTAGCTTGCATCGTTATGTCCTTTATCAGATCATTTATAAAAATTAAAAAGAGTAGAGGCCTTAGAACCGAGCCGTCTGGTACCCTAGAATGAGCGGGAGAAAGGTCCGATTGGATATCTTCAAGCTTACCAACAGCATTATATCAAAAAGAAACGCCAAGATCCATCCTAAGATTGTTTGATTATTTAACATATGTCTTAGTTTGCACATTAATTTTCTATGGTTCACTTTATCAAAGGCTTTCTTAAAATATAAAAAAAAATTGACGTCGATATGTTACTTACTGCCTAGTATTTGAGAAGTGACATGTACGACTTCCGTTAGCTTCATAACAGTAGATAGTCCCTTTCGGAATACGTGTTGCCCCAGTTAAGTAAGCCATGTTCCACTAGAAATATATGAATATGCTTGGAGATGATGTGCTCTAATAATTTACAGCAAGTTGGCATTAGGGAAAGTTGT